AAGGTTAAAATAGTCTTTACTCTTTTTTGAAATTAAAAGGACAAAATAACTCCAAATAACCTCAAATCTCAAATCTCTCTCCACCTGAATCTCTTCATCTTCTGCTTTGCCAGTGTCAACGTCGTCGACCGTTTTCTGATTTTTTTCGATGATGAAGCCTAGATCTAGCCGTGATTATCCATCTCTCTCTTGTATTTCTCCATTTTGTCCTTCTTCACCTCGGGTGGAAATATGTCATTTACTAAACTAAATATATATTATATCAAATATAAATCACATTTATCAATTAGGCTGCCAAATTGGTGGGAAAAGTAACGCCATCTCCTTAAATAACAATACATTGAATTTGAAATTAACTTTTGGGTGGAAGAATAATATTGACCATGGATGATGTGATGGAATCTCTGTTTCTAGGGTTTCAACAAATGGGACCCATGTTACAGCCATGAAAGCTGAATGGACCACCTTGTTATATATATATATATGAATGTGCATGGGATTGGGATTGGGTCAAATTGATAAGGCTTTCTTTATTCGTAGATTTTCCATCTTGGAAACAACGATCTACATACACGACAGTGAAACTGAAAATGATAAATAAAAAATTGCATAAGCAAATTCATGAGGACAAAACTACAGAGTATCCCCGTATACTATGCTAAATCATTGACACCTCAAAAGGTAACATTGGAGATATGAACAAATAATAATCTATCATAGGGAACGGAATCTAGCGACCCTTTATTTTGGTAGATCAGGGAAAACATAAAAAAGAGCCTTTCTTTCACTTCAGTTTTTGTTCTTAAAAGGAAAAATCCATTCAGCTTATTCTTCAAGCAAGCTACAAAGCTTAACATTGATGATGTAATGTTTATCTCCACCTGACATTTTTTAAAGACTTTGCTTTTTTCTTGACCGACTGATTGTACAACCTCTCTTTCATCAGGTAAAATCTTTCTTAATGGGAGGGAAAGACTACAGAATTTGTTTTTTTTTGTTTTTTTAAGATTTTTGGCTTCCCTAATTCATTTTGTCTTCCCTAATAGTATTAAATTGAGCTAGTGAGATTCATTAATCTCGATTATTATAACTTGGACAAGAGAATACAAATATCAATTTAATTTCTTTATCTCCCTTTTGAAAGAATTAAAGAATGTTTGGAATCAAAGAAAATAAACCATCACACAAGTAACGTAACAAGTAAAAGAAAGAAACACGAGTGATTTAATTATCACCTCTCTCGTTTTACGAATGTATTTGTTATGATTTTTCTATATCACTTATAAGAGAGAATAATGTGTTTATATACTAGGTTTTATGAGAGAAACCTAAAACTATTAGGATTCGTATTCCTAAGCCAAACCCTATTAAGAGTCTTATTCCTTAGAGAATCTTACGATGGTCCTATTCCTTAGAGAATCCTACAACGGGACTTGTGTGCGTCGCCCTTTATAAGTGAATCCCTTAAAGTGGTAGCCAATTCCAGTACCTTTTCAGTCATCAATTGTTATTTATTGAATCTCATTCATAATATGTAAAATTATATATATAATTTGTTTCCATTTTAAGTCATCCAATTTAGAGATTGTAAATTAAGTAAAGACAAAGAGAGTGGCAATATGATGTGGTGGGTTAGTGCATTTATTTTCTAATATTGTTTTTGCTTATGTTTGACTATTTGTTGACCATCTAGGGATAGAATCTTCTTTTTAAATGTGAGTGGGGGCAATAGCCCCACACGGATATATATATATATTTCAAAAAATAATTGAGATGCTTTTTATGAATATAAAAGTTTGTGCAAAGTTTCTGAAGGTGCCCCTCTAAAAGGAGTTGCGTCTACAATGTTTGTGAGAGAAATTTAATTAACATTAATTTTTTTTTTCCTATATAACAATATCAAATTTATAATTACATGTATACATAATATATAATATTTGTAAAACAAATATGTTTTACATTGCAGAAAATCATGTAATCTCAAACGTCCCATCATCTTTTATTAGTTAATATGAAAATTTAAGGTAAACGCCTGCCTATAAGGCAATACTTGGAAGAATTTAAAAGTAAATGAAGATACCGTCTAAAGAAACACGAATATATATATATATATATATATATATAAGAGAAAATCATAGTTAAGAATTTGGAAGAAGAATCTAAAATATTTAGCAAAGAAGATCAATTGTTATTTATTATTTTTTTTTAAAAGAAAAATATGGCATACGACTATTAAGTACTAACCCTAAGTTTTTTTTCATGGTGTATGGAATATGGTGATAAAAGTAAGGGTAAAATACACTGACCTGCGCTCAGTTTAAGGTAAATATATTTAAATCCCTTATCTTATAAAACTATCATCATATCTTTTTTTTTTTTTCCGATAATTGAGATATCTAGACCCATGATAGAGTCTGCCTAATCCTTAGAGCAAATGTGTTAGGTATCGTTAAATCTTCCCGGAGTCTATTTAACATTCGATAGAGTTAACCCTTATTAATTAAAAAAATTGTGGTTATTTAAAGGTATTGATAAACATTTTAATCACCTTTAGTTATGTTAAATAAAAATATAGAAGGATTAATGATAATTGTTAATACCTTAGAGATGTAAGCGTATTTTACTCTGAACTTCAAGTTCAAGGATCAGTGTATGTTAAAGACAATAACAGTCTTCTACGATAAATAGTAATAAGAAAAAGAGAAGGAATAAAGGGATTTGATGTGTCGGGTCTTTTCACGCTAAAAAATAAATTAATTAATTTGGGTCCAACCTTTTAATGTTAAACAAGTTACTTCTTAATTTTGTATTTAAGTTGCACATTACCACCACCTCAAATTAATAATAAATTGTGGTGGTGGTTATACAAAGAACCCGACTTCTCGTAGACCATTACAGTATTCACGCTACTTATTTTAATGGATGACTCATTATTTGGACTTTGTTTATGCAACATAAACGAGAATATATATAGCCCTAGTTAGTTCCTCTGGCTTGAGTTTGAAGATAATAACATGGATGCCCTATATTATATATGTTTATTTCATGGATATTCCATATGCAAAATAGAAGCTGAATTGATTGGTTTTATCAAGGATGTGTTGAACTGCAGTTTGTTGCCGACGCAATAAGAAAACTACTTCATGATCTCAGCTTCTATATATGAGTCATACATGACGGAAAAAAGCAGATTCATGAATAGCGAGGGAGAAACAAAGGTCTAAAGAGGTCTTAAAAGCGAAAGCTGTGTCTGGGTGGAAAGTGATGAAAATAAAAACTAATAACAGAGAGAACATTAATTATATAATTTGAGCATGGATTTCCGAGCCCTCCGTTGATTGCTTTGCTCTTCTGAAGAGCCTCTTGTTTATACTACCATAACACCTTCCCCACCACCACACCAACAGTAATAAGTCAGTAACCACTCTCTATTTCTCTTTGTGTGAGAATGGCTTTTTCTACTCTTGTTTCTTTTCTCTTTATTATCCACATGCATCTTCATTTTTGGTATCACAGTTGACTGTTTTAATTTACTGGCTACGTCCCAGGACCAGAACTGAGAGAAAGAAGAGAGAGAGTGCTTTTTGGCTTGATTGCTTTATTCGTTCTTGCAAGGCAGCCTTGTTCCTTGCAAAAGCAAACCCCTTGATTCCTTTTCTTTTTGTAAGAAGACTAATAGCTACCCACACTTGGATTATAATAACATTAACATATACATACACCACTTCTATGTAATTATTATTAGGATTGAAATTTTTTAACAGAGATTTCTTTTTTTAATAATTTGATATATCGTTTTCTAAGATCACAATTGAAGGCTGAGACTGAGAGAGAGAGAGAGAGAGAGAGTGGCAGAGTAATCTAAAGAAAACGTTCAGAAGTTTTTCTCACTTCTCTTTTGCCACATATTTATGACCTAACATTATTCTTCTAACGAAATTCTAGAACAATTCAGACTTGGGTTTGGTTGAAAACGGAATATATATTGCATGGTTTTGAGTGGGATTTTTGGCGTTTTCTGATCCTAATAGTCTTTCTCTTTCGCTTCTTGGATTACTCTCTCTCTTTCTTTCTTTCTCTCGCCAAACAAAGAAGTACGTCCCACCTCATGATGATTCTAACTTATAATTACAAAATCATTACTAAAACTGTTGCAAATATGACTACCCCTTTCCCTCTCCATGATTATATACTCAAAACTCGAAAGACCTGGAAATTTGATTTTCTCGGGGAGTTGAACAATACTGAAAAGAGATAACCTTTCAGATAAACATCCTAAAAATGAGAGACAAGTAGCTTTGTGGGAATTCAAACTTTGCCTACACCACAGATAAAGGAATAGGGAAAATTTAAAACCTCACAAGTTTAGATCATCAACGTCGATTTAAGAAAAGTGATGTTGCTATAGATCGAACCATTTAGGATATTACTATGAGACAGAGAAAGATTACTTACGGCCGATATCATTCACTCAAGAAGTGTATATATATATATATATATATATATATATATGAAGGTGACCGGGGAATTGATATTATATATATGTGTGTGTAATTTGACTACGGTCTTGGACGAGTTGTTGATGCTAAATTATTCATGCTCGTCTTTAACTTTAAAGATGACTAGCAGAAATTCATAGAACTTCAACTTTTCCAATAGAAGTTCATGAACATAAAATTTAAACACAAAAGAAAGCACCGACCACCCCATAAATTAACCTCATGAATTTCATGCGCAATTTCACACTTGAACAACATAACAGTGGCAATAATTTTATGGAAACCAATGAGACCTCTTTGTACGATCACGCTAGTGCATGAAGAATTATGAAATATAATTAAGTTTCCATAAAGGATACGCTACAGAAATTGATCAGTTCATACATAACTTTGAACACACACAACACTACGACAAATTTGTAAACAAGCCCATGCAATACAAGACACCAAAGATATAGATTAATTAAGCGAGAACATACTGAAAAGACAAGAACGAGACAAGAACGAAAACTAAGTTCTAACAGTCTTTAATGCTCCGTAGATCATGAAGAGAAAGGTTTTGCATCACTATCCACACCTTTGGGGATGAACTTGCAAGTCAAGGTGGCTCTCAGGAACATGCAACTTCGTGTCATCTATCTTAGAGGTTAAGCTGTAATGATTGGATATATATGAGCTCAAAACTTCAAGCAAAGCTAGCTTCCAAGTTCAATGATAAAGAACAATACAGATTATGAGAGATTATTAGTGGCGGAAGAAGAGTTTAGACCTGATAGATCTGTCCAGTTACTTCCACTCCAGTATTGATTATTCTCGGAAAAACCCAGAAACTGTCTCGATAAATTTAGCCCTTGGTTATTTCCTTCCATTTTCATTGGAGTCTGTTCAGAAACCCTAGAGTTTGTAGTCATGGATCGAAGTTGGTTGTCACCCACTAAAGAAGATGGTGTTTCAACACCTTCACTTTGAAAAGGAAATAAACCGGTGGGTGGCTCGAAGAAAGGAAATTGCTGAACTCCTCCGGCGGATAATATGGCACTAGTCATGCTTGAATTGTTTCCAATTTGAAACCCAATTTCATTCTGGCCACTACCGACAGTTGATGCCCCAATCTGTGCTTGAATTCCACCAAAATTTAACCCAATATTCCCCATATTATACTGAGAAATATTATGTAAAGAGGTCAACAAGGGTAATTGAGGTGTTTGTTGAGGCAAATGACCAATAACATCAGAGGGAACTGCACTAGTGGAACTTGAACCCAATTGCTTTTCAGTGGTAACTTGGGATTTGGAGTTACTGCTTTTGTTTTTCTTGTTTCTCCTGCAGCCTCCACCAACTGGGACATTTCTTAAGGCACCCCCTCTAGTCCAGTAGCGGCGACAAGTCTTACAGAAGTGGCGCGGCTGCGAGAGGCTGTAATTGTTGAAGTAACAAAATTTAGTGTTGGTGGATTCACATCTAGGGCACTTGAGGGCTACCTCCGGCTGTGGCAGCTTGGCTAGCCGGGCTCGATCAGCCATGGAGCCAGGCCTGATGGAGCCAGCACCACCATCTCCAACACCAACACCAACGCCAATATGAGAGGCAGGAGGAAAAGGAGGAAGCTGATGATTTTCAGTTCCAGTATTTGCTTGTTGATGATTTTGTTGCTGCAAAATAGAATTTAGACAAACAAAAACATTAAAATTGAATTATAAAGAAACAAACATTTGGTATATTCAAGAAGAGATAACAAAGGAATAGGAATATTTATCTTTTAAATTATCTGCTTTTCTTTTCTTTTCTTCTTTTTTGGGTTGAAGGAAAATTGAAGAAAACCTTACCTGATGCCAGTTGGGAGGATCTAAATAGACTGGAACCGATGAGAAAACCATGCTTATTTATTTTTTCTCTTTTTTCTTTTTATAAAGGTTGATGGGTCTTTAGGAATGGAGAATCACACTAAGGGAATACCAGAGCCAAGAAAGAAAGAGAAAAGGGAACTAAAGAGAAGAAGAGGGAAAGCTAGGCAAAGGCTTTTGTTTATTTTGCTCTTATTCTGCCATCATCTCCATAACTTTTTGTTTTATTATATTTTAGGGTTTGAGTGGAAGAATTTTCTTCGCCTATAAGCTTTCTTTGAAACGCTATTAAACTGTGGTATTTTGGTGCTCAAAAGGAGAGTTTTGTGACCCCCTCCTTCATGGACATTGGACAGAAAAAGATGACAACAATTAATACAATAAAACAATTATATCACTTGCTCCTTTGTGGTGGGATCGTTCTGCCTTTCATTTCTTAATCACAAATTAATTTGAGATCGTCAGCTGTAAAGATCACCAGATTTTATGGTGTATTAACTCTATGCCTAACAATTTGAACTTTTTTAATTAATTAAGCGTATTACTAACTTACGTGCTAATTAATCAATTACTCTTTTCTTATATTTGTATTAATATAAAGGTTATTATTAATAGTGATCGCACGTGCCTGCCACAATTTTCATAAAGTTCCTTGGAAGAATTATGTTTAAGTTATAGTTACAGGGACCAATCACAAAATAGGATTCAATATTGTTAAAAAAATTTAATTCTAAGTTGCATGAGACTGAATACATGCATAATTACTGTTCTTCATTTAAAGCAATTATCAAATTGTCTTGTATAACGATCAAATACATTATTTCACTGATAAAATAAACAAAGTTAATTTAAATTAAAGCTAATTAAATATTAAATTATTTGATCCTTCATGGGTTTAAATATACCATGTGTGGAAAATTTATTTGATTGTGATTTTAATGTATCCTAATAAAGTTCAGGTATATATATTTAAGAAGTATAAATATAATCTTTTGAAAATATCAAAATTTTAAATTGGCAGCTAGATGATTAATACACTCATATTGTCTGCCAGATCTTTAATTGGGTATAAATTCTCTGAGCTCAAAACCTAAGGTTATTAATAGAAGTGAACAAAACAAATAAATGAATAAATCCCAGACATCCTTGGACATTAATGTCTACATACCATAATTAAATGCTTGTTTTTAATTCATAATAAAACATTCAAAAATCAATTCAATCTTAGAAATTTATGGAGAGACACCAAAAAAACCCTTATCAACCCAAGAGTTAAAATGTCAGGCATTAAATTATCCTTGAGGATTTATGGAGAGACATAAGAAAATGGAGATGTACCATTTTCTTTATATTTTTGGTGATTTCTAATTCCAATGAGGTAAAATAATTTTTTTGCTTTATCTTTTAAACTTGAAGCATCAAATCGTAGGTTATGAATTTCATGTAACTTGGTAACTTTTACCCGACATCAACACGTTATTTACCTTTGCCAATTGCCCCCAGAAAATAATAAATATATATATAATATATCTATCAATCACTGGAGGTTTAAATTAAGAAAGTTTTTGAGATGAAATAATTAATGGATTACTGCTAATGTAGATACATACAGCACCTGTTTATCACGGAACTTGCTCAATTATACAACGATGGATGAAGTACTTTCTAGCTAAGTCATCTAGAAATTAAAGGCGCATGAATTTAACCATCTTTATCAACTCTTAATCATCCAGTTGTCTTTAAACTTTAAAGCATAAATCATGTACTCATTTGTAATTTGTCTCTCTTTTCTTTCTTTTTCCTTCTTTTTTTACCTGTTTTTCTCTGTTGAATCCCCTTTATTTTTTTGGATTGAGACCGCAAATTGAGTTATAGAGGATCATGGAAGTCGCTTTGTTGTGGGAGGGCGGGAATTTAGAAAGGAATTACTTAGAAGCCATGCATGCATACTTTCTACCATAAGAAATCCCACTTCCCCACCAATCGAAAAAACAGTAGCTCTGAATATTTTTCTACGTATAAGTTATGTTTCATCTTCTTCTAATGTATCTAATTTTGTTCACAGAAATTTGGGTACAAAATTGTTAGCTTGAGAGAGTGATGTTGATGTGTTGTTATTCATTTATTAGAAGAAGATAAGATGAGATAATAATAAACTTAAAGAATCAATGTAGAAGAGTGTATGACATTCTTTTTTTTGAGAAGTTATCCACGTTTATATATTTATGGCAAATCAAATGCATCAGCTGCTTTTTATTTATTTTGTGTGAAAAAACTTAATAATTGGTACTTAACACTTTTACTTTATATGGTTTAATGACATTTTTCCATCCACAAACTTTTAAAATACATTTTTACCAATTTTTATTCCACGGCGAACAGAGAGTAAATCGTCCAGGCGTATGCTTTTGAAGAATGGAGCTGGCTGATTAGTCTTTTGGTGGTAGAAAGTTGAATTTTAGTGGTGGATTAATCAAATTTAACTTGAGAGGCGGCTATGAACCTAATTGCTCAATTGTCGAAGATTGTAGAGCGGTCATAAGAGTAGGGTTGCAGATTTTGGTATAGGGTGTAATGATACCGAAATCAAAACAGAATATAATTTGAGTAATAAAATGATATTTTAAATTTCTATTTGAGAAGTGCGTTAAGGCATTAACATTTTAGGTGGAAAAAGTGGTTTCTCTATATGGATTATGGAATTTTGATTCTCCACTTCTCATTAGATATTGTTGGAGCACATCATTTTTTGACTATTTCAACATTTCATCCCATGATTGACTCACCGCTTCCGACGTGGCAAAATTTGGGTCCACTCAGCAAGAACCAATGGAAATCAATCGTAGGAAACCCTTCTCACTCTAATTAACTTACCAATAATAAAAAGAAGAGTAACGATATCTTCCCACCCAAGGTTTGGCGAATTAGTTCCACCCCTAGTTTCATAAATTATAATTTTACCCTTAAATTAACACCATTATTTTCTCACAAATTAACCCCTACTCAAATTTCTCTCTAATAACCCTAGAGGATCCTGCCAAGTAAAAAATCCGCTGATTCTGGCACCATTGGACCTCCCCGACACAACCATCAATATCCCCTTATCTCCTCAAAAAACTCCTAATTTTTCCACTCATTACACCTCAACGAGGTGCCAAAATTTTGTTGGAAAGGCACAAAAAACACAAAAACCTAAGGGAGAGGCGGCGGATGGCGGGCAATTACACCTGCGATGTTGGGGCTTTTGATGGGGAAAGCTATGATGTATGGTGGTTTGGGGTAGTTTCCGTGTTGGGACCTGCAAAATTTGGATGAAAAACTGCTAAAACTAAGAGCAGCGGCCGCGATTGGGGGTTCAATCAGCAAGGAGGTTAGGGTTTTGATGTAGGGGTTGAGGATTGTAATGGTGGTGCGAGAAGGTGATAGTCGAGAATAGGCTAATAGCCTGAAATTGCCGGTGGGATAATTTGAGAAGTCAAGGGTTATTTTAAAATTTTATCTTTAAATACTATTTTACCTTTTATATTTAATTAAATATTTTCATAATTTAAGGGTGGCATTGAATTTATGAAAGGGGTGAGACTAGATTCCCAAACCTTGGTGGGAAAATCGCTTCTCTAAAAGAAAAACCCACAACAAAAACCTGAAGAGAAACCTCGAGGAAAGAGGATGGGCTGCGTGTTGGTGGCCCATTAAAACCGCGTGATGTGTGACAAAGAGGATCAACGTCAATCTTAGTCATCAGATGCTGATGGTCGGGATTATAGTGCCACATCAGCAAAAGTAGGTCCATTAATAAATAAAATCCTACGGAATATATGGGGGAGTGATCTGGACGGTTGAAAAAGCATGATACCAGCACCACTACTACTATTACATCATCATCGATCCTTCGTTATCTTTGTATATTGTACATGCATGCATGATGCATCATCTATCTGCACTTACTTTTCCACGACAAAGCAATTTTCTATACAACTCCCACCATTTGTTATGAATATTAGAATTCTAGGGATCCAATCACTTTTTTTCCATGCTGTGGATGCATGCATATAATATAATGAGAGGTGTTATAAAAACTTCAAATTTTAGACTTTCGACGAAGTTTCTCTTAATTTTTTCAAACTTGTGGTGGTTAATGAATTTATAAATTTCAAGGGAGCTAAGTGAAATATACCTTATGAAAATAAAGAACAGTATAATTTACAACTATGGAAAATTATACATCATCTATATTTCATTATCTTATTAAAAATAATTTCAATGTGATACTTTTCGTAAAATTTGTATTAAATAGCCCCCATTTTTCTACTAAATTTGAAAGTAAAATCTTTTTAAAAGTCTTGTAAACTATAGCCTCTTCTCATTTTATAGACAAATTTTCCTTAAATATATTCTCTAAAAATTAGTAGAACTAGGCAAAAACTCTTGGTACAAAATGTCCATATTTGCATACAGTGTTGAGTAAACTTCATGAATATTTTTTGCCAAAATGAGAATAGATTAATTCTTTTACATTTTACATCCATGGAAGTTAGATTATTATATTCAATTACCACTATGGCCGAGTGGTTCATAGAGACTCTTGAGTATATTACTCAAGAGTTTTGAGTTTGACTCCCTCCTTGATTGATAATAGATAATCACTGGAATCTTATCCGTTGTAGTTTCAGGATCCTGAATATTAGTTGAGGTGCGTAAGCTAGCCTGGATACCCCCAATCATAAAAAAAATAAAAAAAAGTTAGATTATTGTATTATTGAGATTCTCTGATTAATCACTGCATTTAAATACTAAAGTGCTTAGGATAATCATCCGACTATCAAATAAAGTAAAGACGAGTGGGAAAGATTCCAACTATGTTGCGCAAATTCTTAATTATTTATTTCTAAGTGCCAAAATTAAATATATCAGATATGCAAGAAGAATATATGAGATTAGTTTAACTATACATTTCACCTGCATAGTTATTATTATTTAATCTTCTCTTTTTTTTTTTTTTCTGGTATTGCTGCTATTGCTGCATGAAGCATCGTGCACCTTCGCACAGCTTGGTGATATATATATATATATATATATTATTACCGAAACGTGTAACATTTGATTTGTTTAAACGTGAAAGATTCTAAGAATGAAGAGTACTGGGTGGTGTTGGATCTAATTCTTATCAATTGAATTTTGACAGTGTACGTAGGGCTTTTTTTTTTTTTTTTGTTTTTTGGCAAAAGCCATTCTTTCATTTTGCAGATTTATTTGAAAGGAAGAGAAATGGCAGCC